ACTGAAGGCTGTAGTCTTTGATCTTCATCAGTAAGTGCTTCAAGTCCTCTTCACTTTCAGCAAGCAAGGTTGTGTCATCTGCATATTGCAGGTTCTTAATGAGTCTTCCTCCAATCCTGATGCCACATTCTTCTTCATATAGTCCAGTTTATCGGATTATTTGCTCAGCATACAGATTGAATAAGTATGGTGAAAGGATATAACCTTGACACACACCTTTCCTGATTTCAAGCCACATAGTATCCCCTTGTTCTGCTGGAATGACTACTTCTTGGTCTATGTACAGGTTCCTTATGAGCGCAATTAAGTGTTCTGGATTTCTAATTCTTCGCAATGTTATCCATAATTTATTATGATCCACACAGTCGAAAGCCTTTGCATAGCCAATAAAACACAAGTAAACATCTTTCTGGTATTCTCTGCTTTCAGCCAAGATCCATCTGACATCAGCAATAATATCCCTCGTTCCATGTCCTTTTCTGAATCTGGCTTGAATTTCTGGCAGTTCCCCGTTGATGTACTGTTGCAACCATTTTTGAATTGTCTTCAGCCAAATTTTATTGAGAAATTAAATCACTTGCACAAGATCACTCAGAAACTAGCTGGCAGAGGTGGAATGTGAGCCTAGGTAGTCTGACTCCCTAATCTGCACGTTTAAGCACTGTGCTATGCTACCTCCCATGCATCAACCACAGATATTTATTGACTGTCACCTCCATACCTGGCACTATTCCGGGCATTGGGTACACAACACAAAGTCCCTGTTCCCATAGAGCGTCATTCCCCGAGCCCATCTGGTGTACATCTAGGAGTCCACTCCACCCAGCCCTGGGATCCTGAAGGTAAAATGGGTGTAGGTGAAGGTAAGGGGCCGGTGGCTGAGAGGAGCTGGGGCTGGGGCTGGGGCTGGAAGAAATAAGGAGAGATCCTCAGCCAGATAGCAACTCATGGAGCTGGGAGGGGCAGGGGGCCCACGAGACCCTCCCTAACCAGGCTGACAAGTTGTGGGATCGTGGAAGAGGGTGGTCCCATCAGAGTGAGCTCTCTTGACACTCAGGCACTGAACAGGAGCCAGGGCCTAGCAATGAAAGAAGATGTGTGGACAGGTTTACAGCAGAGCCTGGCTTAGGGAGCCTGGGGCTGGAGGAGCTTCAGCATGGTGGTTCCCGAGGTCTCCAACAACTCTAATCAGCTGTGACGCTACGCCTCTCTTCCACCCACTGGTCCTGTGACCAAGACAGCTAATGAACGAGGAGGAGAGAACCAGCCCCCCAACCTCATCCCCTCTAACGACCCAAAGGGCATCTGATTGCAGTTTCCTAAAGATGGGCCCTCTCTGATGTTTGCTCACTGCCTACAACCTGCCCAAGCCCCTTAGTTCCTGCAGACAGAAGGCCAGCCCTCTGCATGGTGCACAGGCCCTTGACAACCTGGCCCATCTGTCCCTCTGCATCTTTGCCCTGCTCCAAGCCCCCAGCACTGCAGCACCAGGTTGAGAGAAGGGCACTTCCTGCTTGGGCACAGGCTTACCTCTTTCCCCCTTTCCTCCTTTGCCATCCTATTCTCTGTACCTGGAATTACCCTCTTCCCACCTGGGAGAATTCACTCATTCGACAAAGCCCAGGTTAAGTGTCCCTTCTTTGAAAGCCTCCCATGATTCCTCTTTCCTAAGCTTCATGGGGGTAAGAAGGGTGTTTAAGGTCTTCACTTGTCTGTCCCCAGCACCTGCCATAATTGCATGAAGCAAGTATTCCAAAAATGCTTGTGGAATCAATGTATGAATCATGCACCTAGATGGACCTAGAGCCATGGCTTGAGAACTTTGTAGACGATCCTAGCTGGAGGAGATATTAGGCAATACCCCTCAGGTAGATATTCCTGACCTGAGGGCACTTCCCTCAAATGGGAAGCCACCTATTCTTACCTATACATAAGACTGTATAAAGAATAAACCAACAAAACCTGAACCAGTTACTATTGAGTCGATTCTGACTGATGGAGACCCCATGTGTAGCAAAATAGAACTGTGTTCTATAGGGTTTTCAAGGCTGTGATCTTTTGGAAGCATATCGCCTGGACTTTCTTCTGAGGCACCTCTGGGTGGGTTCAAACTGCCAACCTTTTGGTTAGTAGTCCAGTGCTTAACTGTTTGTACCACTCAGGAATAGCTATTATTTACTGAGTACTTTCCATGGTCTAGACCTGTGTTAAGCAGTTTACATACATTGTTTTATTTAACATTCATAACATCACTGTGAGGCAGGGATTATTATCCCCATTTGACAGATGAGGAGATTGAGACTCAGTAAGGTTAAGTACCTTCCTCAAGGTCACATAGCCAGTAAATGGTGCATTTGAACCAAATCTGCTAACCCAAGAGCCAAGACTCAGTCAATGCCATCACATATGATGTAGTTGGAGGAGTCCTGCCATCCTTTGTCTTGCCAGCAGCTGCCAAATTGCTGAAGAGGACTGAGGTCAGGGGTAGAGGTGGTGGGCAGTGGGTCACCATTGTCATGTTTACTTATTCCCCAGGTGCCTTGGCCTCAGCTGCCCTTGAAGTCACTATGATGTGGTTCCCACCAGCTGCCCTCTCCCTGATCCTGCTGCTGCTGGGCCAGGCCCCTCCAAGCAGGCTGCAGTCACTGCGCACCATTAAGCTACGGCTTGTGGGCCCAGAGAGCAAGCCAGAGGAGGGCCGCCTGGAGGTGCTGTACCAGGGCCAGTGGGGCACCGTGTGTGATGACAACTTCGCCCTCCAGGAGGCTATGGTGGCCTGCCGCCAGCTAGGCTTTGAGACTGCCTTGACCTGGGCCCATAGTGCCAAGTATGGCCAAGGGGAGGGTGAGTGACTGGTGCTGCCTAGGGGGATGATAAGGAAATGGTGACAGGCTTTTCTCAGGGGCTCGGCTCACTGAGGCTCCAACAGAACTCATCAGACTCCCACCCATCCTTTAATACCCAGCTCAAACGACCTCCTCCGTGAGGCACTTCCTGAGTGCCCCAGCTGCAAATGATCCTTGCTCTGACCCTCCCATTCTCTCTTGTAATGAGGTCACCACCATCACCACCATCACCATCACCATCACTGAACTCTTAAGTTCCTTAAACATTGTAATTGGCACATAGTATATGCTTAGCAAATGTTGAATGAATGAATGGGCAAACAGGTAGGTCTAGTTACTAGGTGGGCATAGGCTAGCATTTTCCAAAACGAGATTCTACAGGGCCTGATGCCAGGAGGAGGCAGTAGGCAGGGCTGTGGATACCAAGATCCCAGGAGAATCATTCCCCCACTTCCTCCTCAGGATTTGGAAAAGGAAAGGTGACAAGTGTGGGTCCTATCCAGGAGGCAGGGCCCATGACTTGCCTCTCGTGGCTCATCCCTGAGCATCCATCTGCCCTTTACCCACAGGCCCCATCTGGCTGGACAATGTGCGCTGTGTGGGCACAGAGAGCTCCCTGGACCAGTGCGGGTCTAATGGCTGGGGCGTCAGTGACTGCAGCCACTCGGAAGACATCGGGGTGGTATGCCAGCCCCAGCGCCAGCATGGCTCTCTTTCTCAGAGGGTCTCCAATGCACTCGGGCCCCAGGTGAGGAAGCTATTGGGGGCCTGGCCTGAGCCTAGGGACTGAGGGCCTGGACCAGGTGACTGGGAGCTTCCTGGATGGTGAGCCTGGAGGAAGAGGGAGGGAAAGGGAGCAGAGCCTAGGCTGAGAAACATCCCTGGGGCCCGACTCCTGTCTGAGGCTTGAGGCCCTAGTTTCAACCCAGAAGCAGGTGCCTGCGTAGAGGCCCCAGCCTAATGCAGGGCAGGCCAGAGACATCGAGGCCTGGCCTGCTGGGAATCTCAGAAGCTGCTCCCCACAGGGGAGGGAGCAGGGGGGGCAAGGGGCTGCCTCACCCACAAGGCCCAGCCACAATTGATGCCTCTTCCCGGCACAAACAACCCCGAGCTAAAAACAGCCCAAGCCAAACAACAGGAGCAGGCAGGGCCAGCCTCTGGTTCCTGCACTCTGCTGCCAGGCAGGCTCCAGCCTGAGGACAGCTGGCCCTGGCCCCCTGAACATGACAGGCCATGATGGGGGGCACCATATTGGTACTGGTCTGAGTCACCCTAGGGCTAGAGTCCTGTGGGCCAAAGCAGCTGGTCTGGCCCATCCTCAGCTCCTCCCAGGGTGGCATGACAAAGGCCACTCCCCGCCCTATGAAAGTCCCCCAAACTGTCAAGGGTCCCCATCCTGGCCCCAGGAATGGTACCCATCTGCCTAGTTCTCATCAACTTAAACAAGTTTGGTGGAGTTGAGGAGAGGACCCTAGAAAAACCATGGTTCTGCCTTGTGCTCACTGTGTGCCTTCGATGAGCACCTCCTGCACCCCAGGCCTCAGTCTCCTGGCCTGTCTGATGAGGGGGTCGGGTGGGATGACATCTAAGGTCTCTGAGCAGTGAGCTCAGCATGTGAGGCAGGAGTCCTGGTGCCCACAGGTGACTGTGCACCCCACAGGTCCGGCGGTTGGAGGAGGTGCGGCTGAAGCCCATCCTTGCCAGTGCCAAGCGGCAGATCCCAGTGACCGAGGGGGCCGTGGAGGTGAAGTACGAGGGACACTGGCGGCAGGTGTGTGACCAGGGCTGGACCATGAACAACAGCAGAGTGGTGTGTGGGATGCTGGGCTTCCCCAACCAACAGCCTGTCAACAGCGACTACTACAGGTAGGAGGGCGGCTGAGCTGAGGGCCAGGAGGGTAGGGAGTGGCGAGGTGGCAGCTGACTGTGTGTGTATGTGTGTGTCTGTGTGTGTATCTGTGTGTGTGTGTGTGTGTGGCTTTGCAGAGTGCAGTGAAATTGGCTGGGGTGGGTGTCAGTGGGTTTGGGGGTTGGGAGGGAAATAGGCCCACCTGAGGAGTATGCCTGAATTTCCTGGGTTATGATATGAATCCCTCAGAATAATTAAGAGAGAGATAAACAACAAGGCCCTGGTAATCTCTAGAAACAGTGGGAAAATAAACACTCTACTTGTCAGTCAAATAACAGGCATTGACTATGGTACAGAATACCTCCACTGTGAAGTTAATGGAATGTACAACTTTGTGTCCCCCATTGAAAAACTAGACTGTACTGAAGACAGTGACAGTGCTGCTCACAAGTATAAACGAGCCGAGTCCTCATCTCAGCTTGCCAGTCACTAGCTGTGAGGCCTTGGGTAGGGTGTCTGGTCCTCAATTATCAATTCCTCAGAGAATTATCTTAACTGTGCCCTAGTGAATGATCTCAACTCTGGTCCCAGCAAGGCTGTGTAAGCAAAGCATGGGGTAGGGTGGGTCTGGGGAGAGGAGATGAAAATATTCTGTCAGAAACGTGACAGAATTGCCGAAAGTAGACTGCATCAGCCTTATAAGTGATGAGTACGTCATAGTTCTTCTAGTTCTCTGCCAGTGAAAACTGTATGCTTCTCACCAAGGGAGAAACTTCCCACAGTACCATCCTCCCTCATCCACCCCTGATCAGTTTTAGTCCCGCTTCATTTAAGGGGTTGGAAATCCGTTACTGGTCTTCGTGTCTCTGACTTAGGCCATCCTGAAAGAGGGGTATTGGGCAGCCACGTGGCAGCCACATGGCTCCAATCCTTGGGGATGGCTGGGACGTGGCCCCCACTGCCTGGTAATTGCACATCTGGGTCTTGCTGACTCATCCACCATCCATGAGGAGGACAGCTTTGATTATAGCCTGGGTGTCTCTGGGGTGGGCAGCCCCAACCAGCAAGGCCTTTAACTTCCACCTGTCCTGAGAGGACCTTGCCCCTGGTCCCTTCTCTTGGGGCTTCCCCTAAAGGCTCCTCTTCATCTGGACTGGAGGGAGGGTGAGCTCTGAGCTGCCTGCCCCAGGGGACCTTGTTAGGCCTTGCTTTCCTTCCCTATAAAATGGCGATTGTTGTTATCTGTGACATGGTTACCCTCCTGGGGCTGCTGTGAGGCCTAGCAATGAAATAAGATGTGTGGACAGGTTTACAAACTGTGAGACCTGGTGCAAACTTAGGAGCCTCAGTGACAGGTGGGGCTTCTGCACCCACTCCATCCCCCGCCTGTTTTCTCCCTCCACAGGAAGGTCTGGAATTCAAAGATGAAGGATCCCAAGTCTAGGTGAGGAGCCATTTCCTTGAGGGAGGATGCTGAGGGATGCAGCAGGAGGGGCCTCCTTTCCTCACCTCTGCCTCCACCTCTCCTCAATCCCAAAGCTCTTCCCTCAACCCCTCCCTCCATGTCTTCCAGGCTGAAGAGCCTGACTAAGAAGAATTCCTTCTGGATCCACCGTGTCATCTGCTTGGGGACAGAGTCCCACATGGCCAGCTGCCAGGTGCAGGTGTCTCCTGCCCGGGGCAAGCTGCAGCCAGCCTGTCCCGAGGGTATGCACGCTGTGGTCAACTGCGTGGCAGGGCCCCGCTTCCGCCCACCCAAGGCAAAGCCACGACAAAAGGATCCCTGGGCAGAGGTGAGCCCCACAGCTGCACTCTGGCCTGGAGGCATAGGCCTCCCTCAGTGGGCCACCCCAGTGGGGAGAGGCTGGCTCAGGGGCCCTCAGGACAGCAAGTGAGGAGGAAAGAGCCCCCCATCAAGGAGGCAGCATTGGTTCAGGCTGGGAGGAGAGCTAGTTACAGAATGGCTGAGCTGTGGGAGGCCTGGGGATTGATGGAAAAAAGAGTTTATAGCCCTCCCATAAATGGAAAACTGGTGTCACCTGCCAGGAATAGAAGGTAACCATAAAAACAGCCATTAAGTTGTAGCCGTATCCGTATCCCGTCTAGGGCCAAAGGTATTGAACGTGAGCCTGGCCCTTTGTTATAAAAAGGAGATGAGCAAGTGCTAGTGAGGTGTTCCAGACACATCAGCACCACACTGGGACTGTCTTCTTGAGGGCTTCCAAGGAATGCAGCTGGTGGATTCGAATTGCCAGCCTTTTGGTTAGCAGCCGAGGTCTTAAGCACTGCGCCACCAAGTCTCCTCCTTGATGGAGTAGAAAAAATGAAAGAATTTAAATAACTCCCTCACTATGTGAATTAATTTAATTAATACCATGTCCCTGCACCACCCTAAAATCAGTTCACAGACCTCTTTGGGAAGTGCTGACCTAGTTCAACCCAAAGGGACAAAAAAGAAGCCAAGGCTCAGAGAGAGGAAGGGACCTGCTCAGAGAGTGATTAGGTGGCAGGGCTGTGACTCGGAGCCCAGGGATCCTGACTCCTAAGGCTCTCTCAAACCAAAAAACCAAACGTGTTGCCGCTGAGTCCATTCCGACTCATAGCAACCCTATAGGCTCTCTCATTTGAGCTGGAATTTGTTATTACTGTTATTACTGTGGTGATTGTAATTAAAGCCATCTTCCACTTTACCATGGAAGAAATGGAGGTCCAAGGCCTAGTCAAGGTGACAGCTATGGGAAGTCAGAGGCAGGACTGGAACTTGGACCTCCCAGCTCCCGGTCCTTGGCTCTGCCCACTCACTGTCCACTTCAAGCTCAGCTCAGCAGGAAGGGGCCCTGCCCTGGGCTCCCACTGTGGTGGGCCAGGCCCTGCTGGGCCTCCTTGGCCTCCCCTGAAGCCGTTTTCTCCCAGCAGGAGCCAAAGGTGCGCCTCCGCTCCGGGGCCCAGGTGGGTGAGGGCCGGGTGGAAGTGCTCATGCACCGTCAGTGGGGCACTGTCTGTGACCACAAGTGGGACCTTGTTTCCGCCAGCATCGTGTGCCGTCAGCTCGGCTTTGGCTCTGCTCGGGAGGCCCTCTCTGGGGCCCAGCTGGGCCAAGGTGAGTGGGGGGCCTGGGGTGGGGGACAGGGCCTGGATGAGCCACTCATCCTTTCCTTGGTGGCCCTGGCATGCCAGGCCCAGGACAGAAAGTTCTCCCACTTTATTGGAGGGGAAGCCATAGGTGCAGGGTTACAGAAACAGAGCCTCACACAGCACCTCTCCCCACAGGTCTGGGACCCATCCACTTGAGTGAGGTGCGCTGCAGAGGGTATGAGCGGACCCTCAGTGACTGCCGTGCCCTGGAAGGGTCCCAGAATGGTTGTCAACACGAGAATGATGCTGCCGTCAGGTGCAACATCCCGAACATGGGCTTCCAGAATCAGGTGAGCTCAGGTCTGCCTCAGGCTGGGGGCTGGGGGAGCAGGGTACCTGAGATATCCCAGGGCACCACCTTAAGCCAGTGGGAAGGGGTCTAGGAGAAGCAGCTAGTGCTTCTGCCTTGGGCCCAGTTGGCCCTCCCTTGCAGCCAGCATGGAAACCCTCTCCTCTCCTGTCCTACCTGGTCTGGCCTACATCCCTCAGGCCCCAGGCTCTGGACTGCAGAGATGTCAGGAGGCCACAGGGGCTCTTCAGGTGGAAGCACGCTTCTACCAGGCCTTCCTAGGTCACCTGTGAAGTTGAGAAAGAAGGTGCCAAGTGGGCCTGGGGAGTGGCAGTGGAGAGGCCATGTGGGATGAGAAGAGTTCTAGTCTCAGGACTCACACTGGTGGGGCAAGTCACCTCATGTCTCGGATCTTGGTTCTCTCTTCTGTAAAATGGGCTTAATGGTTTCACGGGGCATTGTGAATGAGGCAGCAGATATGAAAACCCTTTGCAAATTGTGAGTCATTCAGGGTAGGATCTCAGGCCAGGTAGGAGGAGGGCAAGTACCAGAGCAGGAGCCCCTGGTGCAGGCTCTGCGAGTCAGATTTCTCTTGCAGACAAGGCCATTAGAGACCATCTAATAAAATGTCCTCTCTTTACAGAGGAAACAAACCCAGAGCAGGGACAGTCATGTCTAGGCCGCATAAAGAGTGGGTGGGTCTCCAGGCTCACAGTGCCAAGCTCTCCCTCCTAAGGCCCTCTGCTCCTCACACATCTCTGATTGTTGCAGGTGCGCTTAGCTGGCGGGCGCAATCCCAAGGAGGGTGTCGTGGAGGTGCAGGTGGAAGTGAATGGGATCCAACGCTGGGGGGCTGTGTGCAGTGACCACTGGGGACTCACCGAAGCCATGGTGGCCTGCCAACAGCTCGGCCTGGGTTTTGCCAGCCACGCCATCAAGGTAGGTCCATATCTCAGTCACTCCTTCCCTACAACCCCTCAGCCTCCTGGTCTGAGAGGACCAAATCTTCCTGTGCCAGGGTGGCCCTAGGCACAGCTAAAGCTGCTGGCCCGTCGTTCATTCATTCAGCACTTAATTAGAGAGAAACTCTGGGCCAGATGGAATGCTAAGTGCTGGGGAAACTGTAGCGAGCCAGAAGATACGGTCCCTGCCTCATGGAATAGTCAGGTGAGGGAGGCAGCCATTAATCAATGTTCACCCAACTCAGTTCATAGTTATGTACATAGAAAGGATGACTAGAAGTTAGCCAGACAAGGCAGGGGAGGAATAAAGAGCCCATGCAAAGGCCCTGTGGCCAGTGAAAACTTAATTTAGTTGAGGAAATAAGGGACCAGGGGTTGGAGTGTAGTTATCAAGAGGGAGAGTGGTATGAGGTGTGAGGGTGGAGGAGGTAGGGGCCAGAGTATGCAAAGCCTGCAGTCCAGATTTTTAAAAGATTTTTTCCTTTTGGAAAACGGTTGGGGTGGAGACAAACACAGATGCAGGGAAACACACTCAGGAGGCTATCGTAGCCCAGGTGAGGGATGATGCTAGCTTGGACCAGGCTAGTGGCAGTTCAGATGGAAATAAGCAGGTAGAGTCAAAAGGTATCAGGGAAACAATCAAGAGGACTTGGGTGCGAGGGAATGAATGGCCCTCTGCAACTGTACCCACACTGACATATCGGGCAATGCCTGGGTGGCCTCGCCTAGAAAGCCAGGTCTAACCCTGAGCACAGTGACGGTCTGGGTGGTATGCGGAACAGCTGGGGAAATGGAAATATGACTGGGTGGGGAGGAAGGGAACAGGATTCTCCTCTTTAAATAGTTGAGGGCAGCCCATGGGAGAGGCAGGGGAGCAGGCTGCTGGTGGAAGCCACAGGCAGCTGGATTTTTGCTTCAACACACGGAAGAAATTGACTCCCAAGGCCCCTCTCAGCCCTGACGGGTGATGCTGGCTGTTTTCTCAGGACACTTGGTACTGGCAGGGGACGCCGGGGGCTGGAGATGTGGTGCTGAGTGGGGTGCACTGCTCTGGTACGGAGCTGGCCCTGCAGCAGTGTCAGAGGCACGGGCCAGTGCACTGCTCCCACGGCGCGGGGCGCTTCTCCGCCGGAGTCTCCTGCATAGACAGTGAGTACCATGAGGGGCACCCAGTTTGGCATACCCACTCTCCCTTCCTCAGGGGAGGCCCTGAGTGCTGGCCAAGCTCCATGGCCAAAGGGTGGGACAGGGACGGAGGGCTGGTCTTGGGCACCAGCTCTGCCATTTACTAGCTGCATGTGGTCAAGTCACCTGTCTCATCAGGATACAAGCCCTACCCTGTCTACCTCATGGAATAATAAACATGTGAAAACACAACAACATAGAACAGTGTTTCAATTTTCAGGTCATGACCACAGTTAAAAAAAAAAACTAGAATACATCAGAGTGCATTACATCGAGTAAGGGTATTTTTCTCTTGGAATTGTGTGTAAGTGTCCTGGGTCTCAACGTCAAATCTATTTCTACTGTTGATTGTAGTTTTTTTTTAAAAAAGCTTGAGGGCTACTGCTGTAGAGGGTGCGTAAGTGTGGTACATGTAGGACCTAGGGTGCAGCTGTGTGTTCCCCTCCTGGGCTGTGTGATTTACCCAAAAGGTTCTGGGACAAGACCATGTTGATGCATTGGTCTGCCCCACAAACCCAGATTCTCAGGGCAGCAGCGTGTCTGACACCTGCCAACCAGGTCTACGCCAAGATAACTATGTCCAGCCCAGTGGCTGCAAGTTGGCATCACCCAAGTGGCCACTTGACCTTCTTTCCAGCCAAACTTCAATCCCAAGCTGTCCTTAACCTTTGTTAATGAGCTCTAGGGCTTTCCCTTTGTCCAGTGCACCTCCCTGCAGGGTGATGGGGCATCAGAGTGGTCTTCCCAGCACCGAGCCTCACAGCAAGTTGTTGAGGGGGGGGCTTGCTCCCTCCTCAACTCCCCTTCCTGGGAACCCTGTACCTTCCCCTGCTCTGCTGCCTGAGTGGCAGCTCTCTTCTTGAATGCATTTGGTTATTGCATGATGGATAAGCCCTGGTGGCGCAGTGGTTAAGAGCTTAGCTGCTAACAAAAAGGTCGGCAGTTCGAATCCACCAGCCACTCCTTGGAAACCCTATGGGGCAGTTCTGCTCTGTCCTATACGGTCACTACGAGTCGGAATCAACTCAATGGCAATGGGTTTGCTTTTTTGGTTTTGAGCACAGCCGGCCGACCTGCCGCCCCTGTGGCCACCACTATTTCTCCTCTGTGGTGGTTCTCATTTCTTTCCTTCACTCACTTTTCTCATTCTGTCTGGAAGCTTTCCTTCTTTCCCTCAGGAACTCTAGGGTTTGTCAGTAGACGCATACTGGCTCTCTGCAGAACATACCACAGGAGTGCGAGAGCTTTTCTGTTAATAGTGCAGCTATCACACAGCAAGCCAGCCCAGCTCCCACCCTCACTGCATAGCCACTGAAATCAACCAGCGCCCCCATCTCACCTTAGTCAGCATGGAGGCTTGCCCATGTGGTGCCTCTGCCAAAAAACCTAAGCTGCAACCTTGTGTTTTTGCACAAATAAGCAGAGAATGGGCAGCTTTTCCCTGCTGGTGTTACATGGCAACAGCTGTGGATCCACACACTTCTGTACTGACACATGTGAGGAGACAGCGATGGTAGAGGAGGAGGGTAAGAGTCCTGTAACAGGAAAGGGAGAGGCACAGGCACCAGCATGTCCACCATGCCTCAGAAGAGAAATGCACAGGACACCCTGCTATGAATGCCCACCGGGGCAGTCGGGCTAGAATAGGAACCTTGGAGGAAGCACAGCCCTAGGAACTGCAGCAGAATGGACTAGAATGTCAGAATGCACCAGCAGGCTTGGCGATTACGTCTCCCCACTCTCCCTCCCGGCTGTCCCATCCTCTGAAGGAACAAAGAGAAAGAGAATGACTTGGCTAAGTAACAAAGCTGGGTATCAGCAGAGCTTATTGAGGGCATTGTAATGGCTGATTTTTTGGAAGTAGATTGCCAGGTTTTTCTTCCAAGGCACCTTCAAGTGGACTTGACTTCCAACCTTTTGGTTAGCAGCCAAGCGTGTTAACTGTTTGCACCACCCAGGGAATCCTTAAGGTGGTAGGACTGTTCCTTTTATTACGATTCACATCTCCTGACTCGTAAACTGCGCTAATTTTCTGAGGTCCTCCGGAAGAGCTTAGTCTGAGGGTAAGGCTGTCCACCGTGCCAGAGAATGAGAAGGGCTGCCTTTCTACCTTTTGCCTCACCACCATGCCCCTCTGCTGTCTCCAGGTGCTCCAGACCTAGTGATGAACGCCCAACTCGTGCAGGAGACGGCCTACTTGGAGGACCGCCCGCTCAGCCTGCTATACTGTGCCCACGAGGAGAACTGCCTCTCCAAGTCTGCAGACCTGATGGACTGGCCCTATGGATACCGGCGCCTGCTACGCTTCTCCTCACAGATCTTCAACCTGGGCCGGGCCGACTTCCGCCCCAAGACAGGACGCCACAGCTGGATTTGGCACCAGTGTCACATGTTAGTGCCTGCCCAAGCCTTGTCCCTAGAGGGTTAGAGACAAAAAGCAAGGTCCAGGGACTGAAAGAGTCTGGTCTTTCCCTGGCCAGAGGCAAACTTCCCTGAGGCATGTGGGCTATGGTAAGAGTTTTCCTTCCTAGACACCTGACTGGCTTTGCCTCCAGGAGGTGATAAGGGCATCCCAGTAGCAGCAACCTGCCATCTCAATCTCTCTCTCACCTCCCCTGGATGTGCCCATGCTGATGGTCCTCATGTGGTCAAAGAGAGAAGTCATTGCCAGCAGAGTTAGCCTTTGTTAGAATGATATTTGACAATTTTTCTATGTTGGACTTTGGGCCATCCATGTCTTTAGAGGCCAGGTAAAGTGGGGACTCCTAGAAACCTCGAAGCCCAAAATAGACATCCATCCCATCCAGAATGCTGGCTCTGCAGAATAAGCTTGCTGGTTCTAGTAGCAGCAAGGCAAGACACCCTAAGAACAGCGTGAACAGACTGGTACTAAAAAGGAGACAATGAGCATTCAGTCCTATCAGGAGCCTCCAGCCCAGACAGAGAGAGACAATGCCTATGACAAAGGCAGAATGGAAAAAAAACATTTTCTTCAGGACACAGCAGTGGGTGGGGAAAGCTGAGAGGAATGGGCAATGACTTTGGGACTTGGCCTTGCCTGGGATAATAAGCACCTTTCCCTGTAGCATGAACAGAGTTGTCATTACATCTGGATTGGGAACAATGGTAGCAATTTGATCCCAGGCTGACAGGGAGAAAGTGAGCTCCACTCTCTAGCAGCTCAGCTCCTAGGCTGCTCCCTGGACCAAGCACCCTTCCTTGTACTTCCAGTTTGGGTCTTGCAGCAAAGCACCAGCCTCCTGGAGGCTATCAGAGCAGAGCTGCTACCTCACCTAGCCTGGTTAAGACCCTAGGTGATAGGGGTAGCTGTGCCTTCCTGTCTGGCAGGGGTGCCAGGAAATAGGCAGTGGTTCTCACTAATCTTGGGTTTGGGACAGAGATGGGCACTGTCCTGCTATTATGACTTTCCTCTCTGGGTAATGATGGGGCCTAGTGCCCCAGTCTCCCGCCAGCTCCTTCAGAGAGGATCCTATCATGTTGCCGCCAGGCCAAAAGCCTCTCCTCTCCTGCAGGCACTACCACAGCATTGAGGTCTTCACCCACTACGACCTACTCACTCTCAATGGCTCTAAGGTGGCTGAGGGCCACAAGGCCAGCTTCTGTCTAGAGGACACAAATTGCCCCACAGGTACGTGGTTTCCTGTCAGCATGTCTATGAGAGGAGTCCTGCCTCTCATGTTACAGTCCTTAGCCCCTTCGGGATCAGACTCCCTCTGCCCTGTTCAACAGCCCCAAGCACCAGGAGACCTTGGCTTGGAAACAGTCAGCACTCAAGGCAATTAAAAAACATCAATTTCTTACTTTCTGAAATATTAGGTGGAAGGTCTCTGCTTCTTCTGCATCCCCAACACACATGGTACTACTTTTTAAATGCTTGACATTTTCTATCTTGGCTAATTGTTGTACATGCTAAATTCACCTCTGCTAAATTCTTTGAGCACGTGGATTGTCGGATTCATATTTCCATACCCACAGTTCCTAGCCCTTAGAAATGGCATGGTAAACACTGGATCTTTAGAAGGTTGGATGGATGGACGGACAAATGAATTAGCACAGTAAGGCTGAAATCTTCCAACCACATTTCCAAATAATCTCTTAGTCACAGACGTGGTTTGCTACAGTGCTGGACTCATACTTATTAGGAATTTTGGCTCTGACACTCAGCAGCTAGGTGACCTCAGGCAAATTATTTAATTAAACCTCAGGTCTCTAACCTGTGAAGTGGACACATGGCACTTACCTGGTAAGGTTGGTGTGTGAATTAAATTCTAAAGAATGTGAAAGACCTAGCAGAGTGCTTAGTCCTCAGCACCCACTGGCCCACAGTAACTCTCCAAACCCTTCTTTACAGGACTGCAGCGGCGCTATGCGTGTGCCAACTTTGGGGAACAGGGAGTGACTGTAGGTTGCTGGGATACCTACCGGCATGACATTGACTGCCAATGGGTGGATATCACAGATGTGGGCCCTGGGGACTATATCTTCCAGGTAAGGGGGCTAGGGCAGGGGTGGGGAACTCCTCATAGGAACTCCATTTCCTCCAGATGTTCCAAAAGCTTCCCTGAGGTCAACTGAAGGAGGAGTTCCCCACAGAGTCTCCAACAAGCCTGTCACTTGAAGGAGAAGTGCTATAGGGGAAAGAACACTGAATCAGGACCCAGAGGCCCTGGGTTTGAGTCCTGAATCAACGGACAATAGGCAAGTCACAGCTAATCAGTTGTGACTTCTCAGTCCCCATCTGTACACTGGGGATGCTAATGCCTTCCTCCATGGTAATTGTAAAGATTAATGAAGCAAAGATTATAAACACACTTTGTAAAAAACTACATGTAAAGGATTATTCAACTACTGTCAACTCACTCAGAAACCAAGTCACTGGTTTCATTTGTCCCCTTCTCTCACTCCAGGTGATTCTGAACCCCAAGAATGAGGTGGCAGAGTCAGATTTCTCCAACAACATGATGCAGTGCCGCTGCAAGTATGATGGGCACCGGATCTGGCTGCACAACTGCCACACAGGTAACTGAGCCACTGCGGGACCAGCCCTGTACGGGCTTGGGGAGCTGAAGACTGGAAACCTGCCCCAAATGTGACGTGTGTGTTTAAGAGGCTAGGGATGGAGCCGAGATTAACTTCCTTTGACATCTTCACAGGTAGATTTCTAGAAAAACTAGTCAGACCGTCAGCCTCACCCAGTAACTACTTCTGCATCCCGCCTTGCTCCCATCTGTTGTAGAATCTTGCCCATCACCTTCAGCCATGCAAGGATTTTCCTTCTTCCAGTCCGTTATTTTTTTCTCCTCCTTTTCATACGGTTTTTCTCAGCTGCCTCCATCCTAAGCTGACTGCCTCACAGGCAAAAGTAGAAGTCCCCCACGATCTGTGTTGCTATCTCCAGCTGTTACCACTGCTTGCAAGAAGGGGCTCATGAAGAACAGGGCACAGGACATTTACAGGGTTGGCAGCATCAGACAAAGGGAGAGCCAACGATTCAGTAGGGGGCAGAGTAAGGAGGCGACTGCTCTGCTTGTCTGTAAAGATGGGTACCAATCCCTCCATCTCCCAATTTTAAAATGCCTGTGTCTGCGGCCCACACTTGCGTAAGGGAGGTGGGGTGGGGCAGAGTTGTTTGGTCAGTCAGCAAACATTTATTAAGACCTATTACCGTGTAGGACACTGAGCCAGGCACTGGGGATGTAAATACAAAGATGATACAGGAGCTCGGTATCAAGCGGGGTATGCAGATATGCAAAAAGATAACCCCTAATACCAGCAGTATCAAAAACCAGGGGTTAACTAAATGCTGGGTGAACACAGAGAGAAAGCAACCACCTCGGGGCTGGAAAAGGTTTCACAGAAAAAGTGACATTTCAGCTGGGTTTCAAAGGAGAGGTGAAAGTCATAGGAGAAAGAGCATATTCAGGAGGTTTCACTGGGTTCCAAACCCTACTCCACCACTTTCTAGCCAGACGACCAAGAGGTTTTCTCTTTTGTAGCATGGGTTGTGTATCTCAAATTCATTAAAGTTCTTTGTAGGGAGGGTTATGATAGTTCTTCTGAAAGAATGGAATTTATTCTGTGGGCTTCTGGGAACCATTGAAAATGTTCAGTTGAGAGAGCAGATCAGATTATGTTTTCAAAAGAGAACTCTAGCAACAGATGGAAGACAGAATAAGAAGAGGAAGAAGAAATAGGCTGTTTCAAATTTGTGTGACTGGGTAGATTTTGCTGACATTAAATGAGACACGAATATGGGAGGAATCGGGAATTTGGAATCCGAGGCTGAGCATATGGAGACAGCAAATCCTCCAAATGCTGGAGTCAGGCTGTGAGGGAACCACAGCAGTGATGAGGAAGGGAAAATATGGCGGTTCTGCAGGTGCTTTCACCAATGGTTACCAAAAAACTTGTTGCTGTTGATTCCGACTTATAGCGGCCCTCATGGTGCAGTGGTTAAAGTGCTCAGCTGCTAACCAGAAGGTGAGCAGTTCAAACCCACCAGCCACTCTGTGACAGAAAGATGTGGCAGTCGGCTTCTGTAAAGATTACAGCCTTGGTAACCCTACAGGGCAATTCTGCTCGGTCCTATAGGGTCACTATGAGTCGTCAACGGTTAAAGATCTCTTTATATGTCAAGGTTCTTCCAGAAACAGAAGGCACAACTGAGTGACAGTCTGAAGTTATTTAATGAAAGGACTATTTGTAGAGGTGTGCAAAGGATAAAAGAAACAAAGATGTTGAGGCATCCAGCGATTACTAGAACTGCAAGGCCAGAGCAGGGGAAGAAATACCCTGACCTCTCTCCTTCCACCCGCTAGTCTCTTGCTGTTGTTTCTGACTGACCCAACTCAGCCAGAAACCAGAGGACCAGGGAACCAGGGCAATGTAATTTTTAGGGTCAGTCTCCTAGGGCACAGAAAGAACAAACAGCAGAGAATGCCTCTAGGGAGGGGACAAGGGAGAATAACCAGCACAAGTGAAGAGTCTACTGAACAGCCTATTTTTCCTGATTTCCCTGAAACTACACACCAGTCCTGGGTCTATTTCTATTGAATGGGTTGGTGCCCATGCCCATGACCAGCCTGATGGAAAGGATGAGCTGGGGAGAATGTATCTGGGTGTTTCTGACGTTGCCAGGGAAGGAATGAGAGTGTAGGAGGGTTGGCTTCTAACTCTGTGTTCCTTTGGCCCACAGGGGATTCATACCGAGCCAATGCCGAGCTCTCCCTGGAGCAGGAGCAGCGTCTCAGGAACAACCTCATCTGAAGCCATCACCACACTCCCAGCTGCTGCCCACACACCAGATACCTCAGCTTACTGGAGCCATGCCCTTCACAGAGCCCTAACTCTGTGGGCCAGTGCCAAAGGGCACCAAGAACCTGCTCAGGAAGCCTTTTGAAGGCGTTACCACCAAACCAGATGTTACTGCTCCCTCAGGATGGCACTGGGCCTATCCCCTAAGGGCCTTTGGCCTATGGCTTCCAGACTTTGTTCACTGAGCTCCTCTTCCCTAAGGAGACCTAATCTTTCCTGGATTTTGCCCCAGAGTTCCCTGCTTCAGGAGCTCTCAGTTCCTTAGGGATGGACTATGGCCCAGGCCCCCATCTAAATGGTTCTTTGCAAATGTCCTAGAGGAGAAGACAACAAAGGACCAAAATATACAGAGGAGGTGGGGGCCACAAGTCCGCTAAAAGCTCAGCAACACAGCTTGTGCCAAAGTCACATCTGGCAGAGAAGTTGGTAAATTCAGTCTCTTGCTTTATCTGTCCTCATTTAGAACTTATCCCTCATACTCTTAAGAGTCTGTTCTTCAGGGTTTTTTTCTTTTACCCTATTGCACATGTAGATGTTCCTAATAACCCTGGAACCTAAGGCCTCAGGCATCCCCTTATCTCCTGATGGGCCTACACCATTGGTTACTGAGTGCCTGAGAAGGGACAAGGTTCACAGAGGTGGCCAAGTAGGCCTTCCTGCAGAGCAGCAAGAGAAGACCAAGGAGAAAGACTGCTGGGGTAATATGGACCCTAGTTCCTGCCAGGTCTCTGCCAAGGAAAAAATATGTGATGTAGACCTGGCAGACAGTCCAGTCTCTCTCAGGATCACCATGCATCTCAGGATTGGCCTAAATTTCAGGTCTCAACCAGGTTTCTGGAGTGAATTTGCATTAAATAACTTTTTGCAATGGAAAGAACATCAGTCAAACAAGCCCTCATCTCTGTAGGAACAGAAAGACAGGTCCTGTCAAATGTGGAACAGGACACTATGAAGAAGCCAGAGGGGGAAGATTTAATTAAGGACTGAACCTAAGAAAGGCCACTATCCTTGCTTGATGTGGGCGTGATATGCTCTTGCTCAGGTAGTATAAAATCCCATGGTTTTCTTGGAAATGATTCTTAATCTTTTCTCCCGAGACACATTTAAGGATGAGCCTTACAGGTCTGACCCTTGAATGTTAATAAAGATTGTCCATCATGGGCTGCTACAAACACAAGACCAGCTGTGATTATGCACAGTTCCCAGCACACTAACTCTACCCTTTCCACGTGCCCCCCCACCCCCACCATGAACTGGTGACTAGAATGCACACGGCATAAATACTACTCGTAATGGTGTGAGGATACTCATCTACTACCAATTACCATGTCCAGGCTCAATGCTGAAACATGGGCTGGAAAGGTTAAGGAATGGAAAGTAAGAGCAAAAAGGTAAACTTTGGTTACTGAGGCTGCAAAGCCAAAATGACTGGTAGCAGATTTACAACAGCACACCCATAAACACACACACACACAGAATTACTACCCCCCTCTTCAGGGGGACATGCTCTGGGGTACTCCCTATGAATACAAAGAAGTGCTTCCTTCTTCTCTACCTTCTTTCTTCTCAACTCCCCTCATCTCCTTCGTTAGGCAGAGGGAGCATTATATTTTGGCCTGGGCAGTTTAGGTAAACAAGGGAAGGACTGATTTCCTGTTGGATCCAGCAAACATCTCCCAAACAGTAATAACATTATATCCACACATGCAGCTAATGGTCTGTGAAAGAATGTGCAGCTAGCTGGGGAGCAGGTGGTGACTGACGACTAGATTCAGGCAGAGAGGTTACCCACCGCTTCTTGCTAGATCCCAGTTTCCAAGAGGGCCAGAAAAAGCATGCCAGGCAGACAGCCACTAGCTCTGGTGTCAGCCTTGCTGGCCACATCATACGTTTGATGGACGCAGCCAGTTCTAATTCTTGGAAAAAGCTGTAAAAGGGTTGTGTTGTTACACCTCTGAGCTGAAAAGGACATGGGAAAATCAGTGGCTGGCACGACTTTTAACTAGATGAGGAATGTTAACAGAATACCAACCACCAGACAGAACCAAAACTGTCAGAAGACTTTCATCTCAGTATACATTAGTCTCAGAGAAACTAAAGTGCTAGGAACATCGGCTTACTACTCAGAAGCCTAATTTATCTGTATTCTACAAAGACTTTCACTCTATGAGGAGCATATTAGAACTCACGGGAATGTACCTTTCTACTATAAATCCCAGGTGATACTGGGATTTAGATGTTCAACATGTAGGAAGCAACAAACATGGCCAGGAGAGTACATTAGCTGTCTTCTCAAACATCTAACCAAGAAGCCAATGGCAGGTACATGGTGCTCTCCAGTTAGCTCAGCTTAACTGAGCGTGGTTTTGATACAGCCAAGGATTTGATTCCTCTCTGGACAAGCTCAATGTAGTCTGTGCTGGGCCACAGCAGGTACTCTTACCTCTAATCAGTCTTCCTAAAAATAGGCATCAGAAGGAAATGGAGGAAGGTCAGTATACATCAGTATCAACTACTGGAAAAATATAACTAGAAAAGGACATTCTCTATTAATGGTAGAAATAGCACTCCATAGATTCTAGTGTTGGTTTTAAAAAAAATCCTTCTCCAGGTCTGGTTATCAGGATAATTCTGAAAATCAGAGGTGGCTGATTGTCAAGCTGAAAAAAAAAAACATAGGCCACTAGCCATTGGTAGATAGCATTAGGGTGAGAACAAAAATAACTTCTTAAAATTATTAGAACTATAAGAAACACTCGGCTGTATATCACCATTAGCAATGTCCTTAAAAGCTAAAATGTTGTCAAAAAGGGGAAGCATCTTCAAAGGTGAGTGACAGGAGCAATCACCTCTTTGTTACTGCTCAACGTCACTCTTAGCCTTGAAGAATCAAAATAGAGCAAAGGTATACCTTTGAAGTATAGTGATCCGTAGGAAGCCTGGCTACAGTTCTCTGCATATCCTTTCAAATACAGCCATATTGTTCAAAGAGACCTGCCTATCTGTAGCTATAAGCCAAAGAGAGGGGCAATGGACTAAATAGCAGTGGCACAGAGGGATCAAAAGGACTCATTTAATCTCCCAAACTTGGAATAGAGGCACTGAATGAGGGGCAGTGGCAGAACTGACCAAGAATGAGAAAAGCAATGCTGAGTTGCTGCAAGAGGGCTCTAAGACCAGAATAGCAGCAGGGATAGTAAGGTCAGGACTAAGACCCAAGGCCAGTGTCATCTGAGGAATGTTTGAACAGAGCCCCACTCCATCATGTTCTACACAAGGCTAATAATCCATCGTCATTGGTGCTAAATCATAAAAAAAAAAAAAAAAAAAAAAAGAGGCTGTTGCCCTAGTTGAAAGCACAATGAGACACTACTACTTGCCACCTCAGCATCTTAAGGTCTAGCATTACCATTTCTTCAGTGCAAAACTGCTTTCCGAAAATACTGAGAATGCAGATATGAGATGGATAAGGCCCGAGTTAATGGCTCTGACTTGTTCATGTCCTTTAGGAAATCTCTCACTGCCCAGAGGTGTTTATTTTATCCTGGCTGCTCTTCATTGTAATGGATGGTTTGGTGCTCCTTGCCAAGTGCCTCTGGCACGGGCTGAAAAGATCATCCCAAGAACATGCAGTGTGCCAGATGCTTTCTGCAGGATGTCAGATTTGACAGAAATGGGAAAAGTCAAGAGGTTGGGGTGGGGGGCACAGGAAGACAGGAAGGGGAGAGAAGCTACTACATATCAATGCCTGACAAACCCAGGATAGTCACTTTTGTAGCAGATCTCAGGACAGAGAGATAATCAGCTCTCTGCTCAGTGGGTTCTATAAAGCAACAGATCGACTTAACCCACGCACAGCACTGTAACTATTAAGAGGAGAGCTGGTCTCCTATTTCTTTGTGAGAATGAAAAAACTGACAAACACCAGAGTGACACATGTCATACAACGGGCTTTAATGTCTCCCTCTCACAACACGGTATTACTGCCTAAACTGGAACTGGCACACAGCTCCCAGGAATGAAGCTGCTATGTCCCCTTGATGCTGTGTAGCTGGAGGAGCCCCAGGCACTCAGCTCAGTACAAACTCTGGAGTCCAAATACCCACATCTGCTGCACTTCACCAATTTTGGAGTTCTGGAACTGGCAGTTTAGATTCTGTTTATGCCAAGTACACCAGACACTGTTCTGTCTCTATGTACTGACTACTTCCCTCCCCTCAACACTGCTGTTCTGTGAGGTACCAAGGAATGCCCTGCCTTTGCAGGGCCTCAGTTTCCCATCATTGCGGGGTTGAATCCTCTGTTCTGTTTGGTATTTCCTTAAAACACACTGGAAGTGTGACCCGGCTAACGTAACTACCCCTGCCTAGGGAACTCTTGGAAGTCACACCTTCCAAGTTTCTTCCTGGTTGATGGTCTCTTCTGTGCCCATCACAGTAGGGTGATTCCAAAGCACTGCATTTAGGAGTGAAGACAGACAGAAGTCTATCTTCTTTCTATACCCACTGAGTCCTTGTTGTGATCGCTTTACCTCTTTGCTTCATTAACATGCACATCTGCATGTACACAGAACTCTGGAAGGATCCTCTTATCTGAAGACTATGGGAAACATTTTCTGAATTCACAGAATTATCCCTTTCGTTGAGTGATGTTCAAACAGCAGATTGGTCTCTGCCTTCCCAGATGTCTTCCCGTTGCTTGGCTTCCAACCGCTTTCTCTCTGCAAATAAGGGCAGTGTTAAAGTGGTTGACTATTTCATGTAACCAGTGACTTTCCCTTAATCCAAATGTCAAAGCAGATTTTAATCACGACACAGGTGGGTCTCCTGGTCTTCTCTCACCTGATTCCAAGAGTTATTACCTTTAACTTTCCAAGTGCTTTTAAAGCAGAAACAACACCACTATAAGTATTTACATTTATTACTACATAATAATAAAAGATATGAGGCTAATAGAAATAAAAAATACATGGAGTAAGTCAGAATCTAGCAGTACCCAAATTCTAGTCTTGTTGATATGTGTTTCTTTTAATTCTGCTTCTCAACTATGTTTATTGCTTCAATATAATTATTCCTTACTCCCAGTTTACTGACCCTTACAAATATTCCAACAGGGATCAAGAATATGTTTCAATATTCTTCTTCTACCCTTTTACTCAAATGGAAATGATAGCCACTAAGCTTCAGTCATATTTCCCTACTATAACCTTACTGAAAAAAATATTTCAGAGGCAAACTGAATTTAAGAGCACTGAAATCTCAGAGCACTTTCAGAAGCCAGAATCTTCTAGAATATATAATTCCAACACAGAAAAATGACCACATATAATGGAGGAGAACTAAGGACTATTTCTTATTAAAAAAAAGTACAAATCTGGGCAATATGATCTTCAATTTTTAATATAGAAGGTTGGTTTTCTATTTGACACTTTGATCAAGATTTGAGAAAATAAAGACCATACAAGGTTTGGTGACTGAAGCACTTCATTAGGTGCCAGAAATACCAGTTCTAATTTCATGGTCAGTCATTTATCATGATACCATAAAATGGAGGTGATAAGCCTTAGTACTTCCTTCCAAGGGCTATTGTTTAAGATTGATAATATTTGTATAAGATTTTTCAAGTCATAAACCAGAGGGATTACAGAAATCAAGGTGAGTTTAGAGTTAACACTTGCTATTTTGACACCCTTCCAAATCAGCAGAATCTCTTACAAAATTCCTATATCTGACTGCACTTTAAGGGTAAAGAACTTGATTAGAAAGCTGACTGGCACTTGGAAATGCAAGAAAGAGAAATTTGCTGCTATTTGGGCACCATCTTGTGGCATTGTCTGAATATAGCAGCAAGGTTACAAGAGGCAAAAACTGGGGGTCAGCAAATTTCAAAATGACTAAGGCATACAGTGCCCTGTGACTCAGCTTGCACTGGGTTGGTATTCCCTGGTAGATGGCACTAAGGATAACTGGCTTGTCTAAAGGACTCCAGGATTACTTAGGAAGCACTGTGGTTTAGTTCTTACCAACAGGGAGAAGGTAGGAAGGAATCTAAAGGCAAAGGCAACCTTGGAGGAAAGTGATCAGAAACTGGTTCTGGATTCCAAGAAAACGTGAAGAATTCAGAAAAGTGAATTTTTAGAACTCAAATTTTTCAATAAGCTCAGACACTTAAATTAGAAAGGTAATGTAGAAGTGGTATAAAAGGCAAAGAAATTCAAGAGCAGTAGACAAATATAATGCCTGGCCCATAATCCACAATTGCAAAATCAAAATAATTCTGAGGTCTGAAAACAAAGTTGTTGTTGTTTTTCCTTTATTTTGAGGGCCAAAACTCATGTGGTGGCAAATCTAACCTGAAAGGATACAAGGCTGTTTCTGATCTTTATATATCCCACTCAATATGAAGAGTCATGCACACTGCTGCAGAAATATTAGTGTGTTTGATTTTGACCCCATGCGTGGTTATGAAACATACAGTATAGATACCATGTTACCTTTCTAAAATCTGAAAAGTTCAGAATCCTGAAACATTTCTGTCCCAAATGTTTTCCAGTAAGAGAATGTACATTTGTATTATAAAACATATTTAGTAAGAGGAAAATTCTGGTGGTAAACCATATGAGAAAACTAGTAAGAGTAGAGACAAATTGAGAAACACAAAGAAATAGTGGAAATGTGAGGCATAAATTTAGAAACACTGAACATGAATAGAACAGAGAAATACAGGTTAGGGTGGAACTTAAAAATAATTTCTTCATTCTAAAGAACAGTAAACAGAAGCTTTGAGAGATTAAGTGACTTGGCTAAGGTTACTACATAATCAGAGAAAGAACTGAAGCTGGAATCCAGGGCCTTAATTCTTAAACCAGCATACTTTACACTATCTTGACATCTTAAAATACAATTTGAAAATATCTACAAAGAAAAGGAAAAAAAGTATCGACAGAAAGATAAAGAAGCATGTTGTCTCTTTATTAGACAGAAAGGAAAGCTGATAATAGCTGACAGACTGCATGACAAAAGCTCGTATTACCTTTACCTCCAACCATTAAACTAAGTAAAGAGAAAGTCCAAACAGCAGTTGTAAGGGCAAGGAATTAAGGAAGAATCAAATTAGCATGAAATGATTAATCTAAAACATTCACATAAGCTGGCCCTGAAGACTTTATTTCTGGTATAATAATAAATTGACAGAAAAGACTATAATAAACGAGTTGATTGAAATCTCAGCGTGGTCAGCCACCGCTTCTCACTGAGAGAAAGGAAAGTGAGATTGAAAAAGGGCCAGTTAAGTGTCACATTAAAAAATAATAATAATAATAATACGGATGATCCTGCAGATTAAAGACTTTCAAATTTTACTTCTACACCTAAGAAAATAATTGGGGATAAATCATAAAATCCATTTGTAACCACCTAAAGAGAATTAATCAACATGTTTTGTTAAGAACAAGTCTGGTCAAACTAATCTAATTGCCGTCTTTTATGGAGTGACAGACCTGGTAGATCAAGGAGAAATAATAAAAGCAACCTCTTAATTTTAGCAAGGTTTTAGATTTACCAAGTATTTATATAATCATCAGTATACTGGGAAAATATAGTCTGGATCACGTAAGTGACAAGGGGGCATTTAACTCTGGAGAGTGGAATGATTACCAATGTACTGAAGTCAATAAAAGAACTATGTACTATTTACTTAGCAAGAGTTGGTGACTGGTCAGTTAATTCTAGTTATCATTTCTGATCCAAGTGAGGGATGTAAATTTATTAAACAGCAGCCAACACCAAAAAAGGGATAACTACTGCATCTCAGAGAAAAATATCACATTAAAACAGAAGAAAATGTGGTTAGAAATGAAGTGAACTTTACACACCAGGCGAGAAAAGACACCAAGAAAATGCCAAAAGACCTAGATTATGAGTTGGCGATGCATTACTGCCCTTTAAGGCAGAATGACAGAATAGCTAAAAAGGATTTCAGAAGGTAGCAGTTGTGATTAAATTTTCTTTTATTACAGTTGACTCTGCAGATCCTACATAGACAATTTTACTTGTAAGTTCTTAGTGATTTAATTAATCAAAGTAGGTAACCAAGTTACTGTTTACTTACTATGCCTTTTGGGCCTATGAACCAAAAGATGGCCCTTTAGAAACAGCCAATTAATCGCCTATCCCCAAGAGGAAAATGAAAATAAGTTATTAAGTAAAACTATAGCAGGCTTTGAAAATGAGAGGGTAGCTTATTCTGTGGTAATGATATTTACCTCCAATTTTAGGTGGGAATCAAGGGTTTTGAATAAGTGAAATATGGGAAAATTTTACTTGTATTCCTGAGTTTGGTCTTTAAAATAAGATTTTATCATTTAGTGTGACTCACTGGTTTAAAATACATGTTAAGTCAAACAAAAAGCACTCAGGAATGAGCCACACTTTCATTTCCTACCCTTAGTATAGCTCCAATCTGTTAGGAGTCGGCTGAATGAAGATACTCTCCTGATGCACAGGGACCAGGTACTAAAGCTCTCTTCCTCCTTATATATACAGGAATGATTTGGGTACTTTCTTTTTCTCAATTCTCAGAATAGCTTTAATTTCTCAATCTCCTTTTAAGGACTAAAGCACAGACTTCTCATTAAAAAGCTAAGAAGATCAAAGGCTGGCGTAACCTACCAGGAAGTATTTAAAACACAAAATCACATATTCCAAACTCATGAATTAGGAGGATTTTATAGGTACTGTTCAACTCTCTGGGCTTTATAAAGAAAAACACGGAGGACTCATAGAGCCGTGAATGAAATCAAAAGGTGATGAAAGAAGATTTATGAAGAAGAGTTAAAGTAACCATATCATTCATGTATTCACTCAGTGAACATGTATTGAGTACCTTTTAATGCACCAGGCATGGTGCCAGATACCATAATTCTTCAAATGGAAGACAAAAAGGCTGGGAGACTATTATATAGTATTATTAATAAAAGTACCTATGGTAGATAGGTTTTAATCCCCATGCTAATTCTGATCAACTGACAACAGTCATGTCAAAATGAAGAAAGAACATCTGATGAGCAATGCCTGCCATGGACAATGGATGGGGGAACAGCAGTACATAACACATATTTGTCATTTCTGGCTCATATTATCATAACGAACACTAAATTCCCAAGAGTTATATAACAACAGTATCCTGAATTTGTAAAGCAGTTTTCTAAACATTTTTACACGTTAACTTATGTTGTGCTCACACAATTCTACAGCTAGGTAGGTCAAACATTACTTTGTTGAAAACTGGGGCACAAAGAAGTAGAAGTGACTTGCCCACGGCCACACAGCTAGTTAATGGCAAACACTCCATTCGAACCCAGATTCCCTCATTCTTGAATGATCTTCCCTTGATCTTTACAGTTAAGAACAGAGTGGTATCCAGATGTTCTCTATAGCTACTGAGGAAAAAAGAAGAGGAGCTGGTTTAATCTATCATGCAGATCTAAGTTACACCTAAGGAAAAATTTTCTGAGGGTGAAAGCTGCTAAACACTGATACAGATAACTAAAAAAGAAGCCTGTCAGGTTTCATTCTTAGAGACCTTAAAAAATTTTATAATTCTTTTTTTCCTGGGGAAAAAGTGTTTATTGACCCATAAAGTCTTTCAAGAGGGACTATGAATCTAGGAGGAGCATGAGTTTTAATTAGAGAGGTGTAGGTTCAAATGCCTCCTCTCAACTTGCCAGCTGGGTGACCTTAGGCCAGTTACCTAACTTCTCTGGGCCAGCTCTAAACTGGAGACAATACCATCAATCACAGAGTTGTAACACAATAGCATCATAACACGTTACACTGCCTGGGCACAAAGTAGGTGCCCAATAAACGTTAGTTTCCTCCCAGTTCCTTTAATCAACAAAAACGTTTTTATAGCTCTTAATTTTACAATCTTCAGAACTGAAATGAGGAGAAACAGTTGCTTAAAATACCTAACAGAGGTTCATATTTTCTACCTTACTCAAGGCAGACATCCCTACTAAAATGAAAGTCTTAAGGAGAGGACAAAATCTTACCACTTCTCTATTCTTCTAGATAGGGAACACAACGGTGCTCAGTGAACACCAAATTCAGTTGACAGAGTATCATACGGATTTTAAAATAAAAAGAGTTATATCAAAAAGTATACAGTGGAATCTGTGCTGGACTCACCATATAAGGTTATTGCTAATATTACTAATAAAAACGACAGTAGCTAACATTTAACACATACTTACCATAAAACCAAAAAAAAAAAAAAAAAAACACAACCAACCGGTTGCCATCAAGTCAATTCCCACCAGAGCTCTTAACCACTGCGCCACCAGGGCTCCTTCAAGGGTTGCTATGAGTTGAAATACTTACCATAGGCCTATAAAAACAGGAGGGACAGAAATCCTATGGTTTCTGAAGATGGTAAGTATCTTTCGTGGATTATCTCACTTTATTTCCATCTTACGGATGAGGAGACGGGGCCCTGGAAAGACTAATTTGCCCAAAATCACAGGGCCAGTAAATGGCAGAGCTAAGATTTGGACCTATGCAGCCTGGTTCCAGCACCTATAATGCTATTCACTATGTTGTACTGATCCCTCCCACCAGTGGAAGAAGAAAATATTTGGAACAAAAATATCTGTTCTGCTTAATACCTAACTACTATTTTTAATTTCAACATGAAAACAATCTTGAAGTGAGAAGCACTGGGCTCCATGCAGGCAAATACAAGACTATTTGCTCAATATAGAAAGAAGCCAGAGATACTTCAGGAATTTTTCCATAGGTATTCTCTCAGATATGAAGAATGGGTAAGCTCTGAGGCATAATAAAGGAAGAGTCCTTCAGAATCTGCACAGCCTCAGCATCGCTGGACAGGAAAAACTTATCACAGTGGGTCTCTATTCACAAATAAAGGCCTTCATTAAAAAAGTCAGTAACAGAATAACCCCTTAGCCAACAGCCTCATTTAATTGCATCACTGAAATGTTCTTTGTATAGCTGGGCATTTAAAACAAATATTGCAAGTGGAGCTGCATACTGACGTGCTACAGAGAAACATAGGGGAATACTCAGATGATACTCACGCAAAACAGTTGCTGCAGTATCTGCAGAGATACAGGTGACATTAATCCATAGGGAAACATGATGCATTACAAAAGGAATCACACCTACTTTTATAGATACTGCTGTTATCTACCCTCTACTGATCTTTTGAGATAATTGTGGTTATCACAGAGAAATTATTTTCCTCAGATGATAATCATTTAATAAAGGGTTAAGGACATCACACATTCTCCTACAGACTTTTCTGTTATTGCAATCTATAAAAACCAGAGGAATCCTCTCCTGTTTCTATAGTCTGTAAGAGGCTTCTGAGTGAATAATACATTGGAAAAATCAAAACTCATCATTAAGGTTTCAAAAATTAGTTGAGTTCAACTCATGAAACTCCCAGCACCTGCCATGACACACTCTGTCACTAGTTATCTGGCCAGTGCAGATGAAAGCCTGCAAGCTGCCTGCTATCACCAAAGGAGAGTGGACAGGAAGTATTAATGGCCTTGTTAGACCGGCAATAAACAAGGAGTTTGAAACTTCAATTCGTTTAATGGAAAAATGAAGTTACTTTTCGGTAAGTGGAATTTTCAGATTAAACTGCCTTCACAGATTCCACAGATCATGGGCTAAGGCAATGAGACTGTCTAAAACCTGAAGGTTGATAAAAAGTACTTAAGTGCCAAGCCCAAGCCCCAAGCCTTTACAAACAAGTCAACAGCCTCTAAAGGGGAGAGACAGATTTTCACTTCAACTCTAAACTATGGGGAAAGAAAAATCCTGCTTGTGGATCAGTGGAAATATTTTCTGAGAACTCTTAGCTTCTGGTAAATTATCAGAAAGCAGGTGAAATCTAGATGTACTCTAATGGAGCCACACAAGGCTGTCTTAAAAGGAAAAAAAAAAAAAAACAACAACTTCCTACGATTATCATCACCAGTGTCAGTTGCTGGCTTTTCCTTAGTTTGTCTCCTACCTAAGATCTAAACCATTTGATAATATCATGGCCCGGTAAAACCACAACAAATAATGTTTTCTGCCTAGGAGGCTATTAGGTCTTCACAGGTTTTTTGCTTCAGAATTAGAAGCAAAAACTGTAGAAAAAGTCATGGATAAGCTGAGAAGCCCAAACCTATCTCTTGGGAAACAACAGTAGGAGCTTGGATGAGGACACCTTGGTGTGTGGAACAGACACACAAATCCTGAAATGTCTTCCTCCTGCATACAAAGCATGAAAACAATTTCAATACACTTGAGAGGCTTCTAGGAAATGGAAACGACAAAATAACCTTGACAAATAACCTTGAAAAGAGTTGAGTATCCCTCCAAATACCAGTGGATAAAGGTGATAAGGGAGGGGTAGAGCATATGGGTACCTAAACGACAGGCTTCATTCACTTTTTTCCCATATGTGCCTTACAGTGAAATTCTAAAGGGACTAGAGAAGGCAATCACTTTAACTCACCCCGGGCTTCTTGCAGTTTCTTGAGTTCTGCTTCCCGTTCTGTTTTACTCTGCTTACTTCGAACTCCAAGGGCACTGATAACTAACCTTCTAGCTAGGGCTGCTGAAGTCTCAGGACGCTCCTTTGCTGGCTGGAGGAATTCTGAATGGGAGAAAGGAAGAGAAAGCACTCTGGATCCAAGTGATTTAACTCAGTAATTAACATACAAAATAGACTAACAAGGGCTGCATCAGCAGTAATTAATACAAGCCTGACAGATGACAATCAGAGGAAATTAACATGGCAAAGCACAAACAACTCTGGCTTCATTATCTGCATGAACACAGTTTCTTACAGTGACTCTACCACACAGCTCAACATAATTCCACCTAGAACTAAAACCAAACCAAACCCGTTGCCATCGAGTCGATTCCAACTCATAGTGACCTTGTAGGACAGAGTAGAACTGCCCCATACAGTTTCCAAGGAGCACCTGGTGGATTTGAACTGCCAACCTTTTGCTTAACAGCCTGAGCGCTTACACATTGCGCCACCAGGGTTTCCTCACCTAGAACTAGCACTCCTCAAAGATATAAGGAGGGAGGGAGGTAAACTAGGTAGAAATGTCATCAGAAACTGGCTGCTGCATTGCTTGCAGCTAGTATCTGCCACTCTCTAAGTGACTGCTCAGATGCCCTATGTCTAACATGGCCTTTTTCCTTTCCTTTTTTTTTTTGTTTGGTTAAAAAAAATACTTCTAATAATAAAACTAAAAGTGGATATCTTTAGAACTCTGGATGCTATGCAACTCCTGGAAAAATAACATCATCACCATCAAGAAAAAACCGCAGAGATTACAGCCTCACCGGCATAAGCTCTGGCTTTGGCCTTGGCTGCTCTTGTGGCCTGTGACAAGGGCCGAATCTTCACCATGGTATGCTTACTGCCCAGAGCATCACGAGCTGCAAAGAGGGATGAACATAAGGAAGTAGCAGACATGAAGTGGAGTAGTGCAAAGGAAAATTCAGGGCTATCTCTTAGAAAGAACTTCCTAAAAGTTACAGGTTTTTTGGTTTGTTGCTTTCATGACAGACAAAAGAGATGGTATGCTTTAGGAAATCCATTAAGGGACAACTTGGCAGTGATTATTTTAAATCAGGGGTCAGCAAACTATGGCTCTCAGACCAAATCCAGCCAGTCACCTGCTTTTGTAAATAAAGTTTTACTGAAACAGAGCCATGCCCATTAGTTTGTATATTTTCTGTGGCTACTTTCTTGCTACGCTGGCAGAATTAAGCAGTTGTGACAGAGAGCTTATGGCCCACAATGCCTAAAATACTGTCTGGCCCTTTACAGAAAAAGTTTGCAGACTTCTATTCTAGATGGTTCAGACAGGAACCACCATCTCTAATTTCTTTGAATGCTTCTGCATCAGATTCATCATGAGGCCAATGATATATGTGAAAAGGCCCAACCATATATTCAGAGAGTAGCTACTATAATCTCTTACTGGACAGGTTAAAGGGCTACTTCAAATTCATTTGTCTGTGGGAAAAAAATGACAAATATTGTAAGACTTAGCCCCACTAGCTTCTTAAGCCTCTATTCTTAATCTCTTTATGCAGCAAAATGACTAACAGTTATGAGTGCAAATAACCTTGAAAGGAGTTGACTATCTCTCTGAATACCATTGGATTAAGGCGAAAAGGGAGAGGTGAAGCAAGCGGGAACCAAAGCACCACTCCTCAAAAAACGGAATCTGCCCAACTACCTATACTGGCTGAATAAAATACCAACTGGAAGGAACAGGAAGGAAATAAAAACAGGTAGCAAGAAAAAATGTGTAATAAGAAAGGAATACTGAAATCCGTTGGGTGAATACCTGTAACTGGACTGGAGAATATTCCTAGGGCATGTGTATCATCTACCCATTTAATATCAAATCCTTTCTTTCTGCAACAAAAGAAAACAATTTCATTTCTTCCAATAAAATTTATTTATATGAAACATCTTTCAAGTAGAGCTCATAAAGCATTTCACAATGAGATAGAAACACTTAAAGAGTACACAGGTGGAATGGGAATAATGACACAAAAAACAGCTTGGAGGACAGAAGAAGCCACTGAATTTTAAAAGCAATAAGACTATCACAAAGAACTACCCGGGAGTAGTACTTTACGTTCCCAGCCATTTTATAGACATCAGCTAATTAATCCTCACAAGTCCCTTGGGGAGGTAAAGTATTTAATGCACTATTTACAAGAGATGTTCTTATGGTCAGGGAACAAGAAGAAATGCAAAGAGGAAGCAGAGGAGGGGCAGAGGAATATTAGAGGAGGAGGTAGGCAGGGAAGGTCATTTGGATTTAATGCAAATGCAGGCTCAAGGACACAGAGAGAAAGAAAGAATGAAAGATCATATAGAAAGATGTCATTCAAAGCAAAAAGAAAAACAAAAATCAAGTAATGAAGAAAAAAGAAAACTATAATAAGAGAGGCTGACCTATTCTTTGAAAATAGGTAAGAATTGTGGCAAAGTCAGAATACTTCAGGATAAAAGAAATCAAGATAAGATAAATACCAGACAAGATTAGAAAGAATCAAAACAAGGAACACTTAAGTACTAAAAAGAACCCTTTACTTTGGAGCAGAGCTATGTAGTGAGCACAAAGAATATCAGGATGAAGACATGACATTATTTTTTCACCTCCGAGCTTAAAACTTCTCACGGATTCAACACTGTTCAGTGGAAAGAACAAGTGTTTGAAGGTCAAACAGAAATGGACTCAAGTCCCAGTTCTGCCACCTTGAGACCTTGGGCAGGTTTAACCTGTCTTGGGCCTAGGTCTGCTCATCTGGAGAAATGGGCATAGTATCTTCCTACAGGGTTGTTGTGAAAATGGAAATGTGATCATCCACGACAAGGCAAAGAACACAGTGTTGGACACTTTGTGTGCATCTAATAAGTAAATGATGTTCATTATTCTTATTAATAGCAATATTCATTGGGAAGATTATTAGTATTGATGAAGATGGTGATTAAAACATGAAGTGGACTCTGGTATTTGACTCATAGGTCTTATTTTAGGCTTTTCCATCATGACTTTTTTTAAAATATATAAATCACTATAAAGAAAAAAAGACAACTGCTGAAATACTTCCCTGTTTAACCACGAGTCAAGAAAAAAATTCCTCTGAGGGAAAAGTGAATAAAGGAGGAATTGAAGGTTAGTTAGAAAATTTCCTGAATGTAAGGGTAAGTTGACCGTGGTATAAAATGATCACAGGAGTTGGGGACGTTGAAAAAGTTTAATAATAGAAGTCTGTACAATAAAACAGTTTACAAAAAGGATGGAAAAAGACCTAGATAGACTCTGGAGGGCCTCTTAGGCTATGGAATTTCATAATTCTTTAACATGCTTGCTTTTGGTAGTGACAGAAAAATGGTCTTGTAGGTAAGATTAGGAAGAAACAAAGCAAGGTTCATAATTTGAAAGAATTAACAAATCTTCGGGAAATTCTGGATATCAACAAAACTGATCATTGGTTTTAAGAATTTTCTTTATTAATGACTATCTAAGGTAGCTCTTACTTGAGATTTAATCCTACTGACTGCTTTTTAAAATCTATTATGAATTTTATATGCAACAGGCCCTGATAACTGGATCTTAACACAACTGTAATGGGTTAGACTGACTGACGTGCACTGCGTATTTAGAGTAAGATTTATGGTAGAGATTGTTAACTGTCCCACAGGATCCATTCACCCCTTCTTTTAGTTCTAGAACTAATGGCCCACCCAAAAAATTTAAGTGAAATACATAGCTGTAAGCTAGTTTTGCCTGTTCTGGAATTTTATATAAAAACAGGCTGCCTGTCTAACTGGAATATAGACATGACCATTTGTTTATGTATTATTTATGGATGTTTTTGTGCAACAGTGATAGAGTTGCCTAAAATATTTACTATCCAGCCCTTTAAGAAAAAGTAAGGGCCTATACCTTAACTGATATAGAATCTTACAAATTCAAGATGTTACATAAGTTGAAGTTTTAATTTAAATTTGTATTAGACAACAGACCTGGTTCATTTCTAATATCAGAATTGAAGCACTAAAGTATAATCCCTCTTGATATTGACTTTCCTCCAGTCCCTCAAAATCTTTTTCCTAGTAACTTTCTTTCTGGATTATCTCTTTTTTCCTGAAGCTAATTTTTTCTTATAAGTTTGAGTTAAAAAGGTATACTTCTGACTTTTCCCTTCTCCTCTAGAGTAGACAGACCTGTTAATCTTGTACAGTTGATTAATCTTAACTGGACTTTACTTACCAACTCTCTAGATGAAGTGGCACTCTCCAATTCCTCTGTAAAACATACTGATGTTCATGACAACTGCACAACTGGTGGCTAGTAAGTGACTCTCTAACACAACTGCTGTTCCCGTAAGCTGAGCTATACACATACCAGAAGTCAATGCAGTTGTTCTCAAACCCTTACTTTTTAATTAAATACAATCAAACCAATGAAATACAAACGTAAAAAAGAAGAGTTGTGTCTATGAAAACTTAGTTGAATATCTCTGAAGACTAGAGAAAGGTGAATTACTAAAAAAAAAAAAAAAAAAACTACTGTCGATTATGTTTGGGCAAGACAGCTGTAAAAGATAGAGAATACATTTCAACCTATAAGGAATATGCACTTGGATGACTCCAAACATACAAGGAAAACGTAAGTGACATATTATGAGGGAGACTTACAAGAACTCCTCTATCAACAGACCAGTAACTTTTTAAAAAGGCCTTGATACCAGATCAAAAGACTGGCAAGTGAATGTACACTTTTATGTTTTTAATTAAAATATTAGAGACATATATAAATTATTTTTTTATCATTCCCCACTTGACTATTTCTATTAACCAACCAAATGTCAATGACCCTAATCTCGTCTGATAAGAAGCTCTCTATGCTGTAAGTGGTAATCAGTTCTAAGAAAAAATAATACAAACTCTATAAGTCACTGCAACAATTTTTTCAAATGGATCTGTAACCCACCCCTCTTGATCACACAAAATTTTAAGAATCATCAGGTTAGACTCAAACAATCAGCAAGGCTAGCATTCCGACTACACAGAGCAGCCCATGAAGAAAAAAGTAAGTGAAAGAATAGATCTTTGAATAGGTGAGTGAGGGTGGGAAAAAATCATTTATTAATCTATTTCACTGAAAGTGCCTTTGCATGACATGACATATAAAAAGACTCAGATATAGATCCTGCCCTCAATGAATATGTATCAACAGAAGACATAAAACATTTACAAAGAATCATGAAATCAGAATAGAAAGCAAAAATTGCCACAAGAAAAGGTCAAAATAAAGTAGTACAGAGTTCAGTGAAGGAAGGATCAAGGCAAAGTTTGGTTTGGTCCTGAAGAAATAAGATATGTATGTGAGAGAACGGCAAGGTGGGATGAAAAGCAATAAGAGGGAAGATATGATCAAAGGCAGTCAGAGAGAAAGAGAGGGTCATGAACAAAGGAACAGGGAAGCAGTGAATACTAAAGCAGAAATTTTGGAGAGGCTAAGATCATGCTAGGCTAAGGAGTTTAGACCATTCCCTAGGCAGGGTTCTGGAGGAGGAATGTGACATGATCAGAGAGGTCTGCTTCAGGAAGGTTAAACTAAGAACAATATATAAATTGCTCGGGAATAGGGAGCCCAAAAACAAGTCTAAGAGAGGTAATGAATGCCTGAATTAGTGCAGCAGCAGTAAGGAGAGGAGGGGGCAAATATAAGAGACTTTATAGAAACAAAAACAATAGGAATAGAGAACTAAGTAGACAGAGAAAGGGAAACAGAGTAAAAAATAGTGTTGAAGTTTCAAATTAGAATGACTAAAAACATGGTGATGTTAATCTAACACAGGGTATACAAGTGCAAGGGCCAAGTTTGGTGAGATTAGATTATGACTTCAGTATTTGACATTTCTGGTAATATGGTGGGGTAAGTACCAGGATCAACATTTATGCTGACAACAACGAATAAAAAATATAATAAAGTGAAATTTTAAAACTCAATGGACAGATTTAACAGCAGAATAGACACAGTTGGAAAAAAATCAGTAAACTGGAAGTTACAGCTAAAGAGATTATTCAGAATGTAACACAAAGAGGCGAAGGGATAGAAAATATGAAAGAGAGGTAACAGATGAGGAGAATTAAGTAAGAAAGTCTAACAAATATCTAACTGGCATCTTTAAAAAAAACCTGGTGCCATCGAGTCGATTTTGATTCACAGCGTCCCTACAGGACAGAGGAGAACTGCCCCATAGGGTTTCCAAGGAGCGGCTGGCAGATTCAAACTGCTGATCTTTCGGTTAGCAGCTAAGCTCTCATCACCAGAGGCGAAAGAGAAAGAGACTGGGACAGAGGCGATTTTTGAAAAGATAATGTCTGAGTTTTCCAGAACCAGTGAAAAACACTAACCCGTTGATTTAAGAAGCCCAAATAATCCCAAGCAGAAAAAATAAAAAGAAATTCACAAAGCCCACATCACAGTGAAAATGCAGAATACCAAAGATAAACAGAAATTCTTAGGAGCATCCAGAAAGAAAACATAGACTGCATTCAGAAGTGACAGTTGTTAGACTTTCGGCTGACTTCTCATTATCCACAGAGAAAGCCAAAAGACAGTAGAATAACTTCAAGGTTAAGAGAAAAAACAACTTCAAACCAAGAATTCCAATTCTATATCCAGCAAAAAGGTCTTTTAAGAATGAAGGCAAGGACCACAACCACCACAGCCTCCACCAGACTGAGTCCAGAACAACTAGACGGTGCCCGGCTAACACCACCAACAGCTCTGACAGGGATCACAACAGAGAGTCCCAAACAGAACGGGAGAAAAATACAGAACAAAGATGAAACTCACAAAAAAAGACCAGACTTACTAGTCTGACAAAGATAGAGAAATCTTGAGAGTGTGGCCCCCAGATACCCTTTTAACTCAGTACTGAAGTCACTCCTGAGGTTCACCTTTCAGCCAAAGATTAGACAGGCCTAAAACACAAACAATAACACATGTAGTTCAACTATGTATGCAAGACTAAATGGGCACACTAGCCCAAAAGCAAAGACAAGAAGGCAGGAAGGGACAGGAAAACTGGACAAATGGAAATGGGAAACCCAAGGTCAAGAAAGGGAGAGTGTTGACACATTGTGGGGTTGGCAACCAAGGTCACAAAACCATTTGTGCGTTAACTGTTTAATGAGAAACTAATCTGCTCTATAAACTTCCACCTAAAGCACAATTTAAAAAAAAAAATAATGAATGAATGAATGTAAAATAAAGCCACTTAAAATAATTTAAAAAACTAAAAGTTTGTTATCGGCACACTCTTAGTAAAGTAAATGCTAAAGAACACAGCACATGCAAGAGGAAAAAGATCTCAGATGGAAGGTATGAGATATAAAAAGGAATAAACAAAGAGCACAGAAAGTAGTAAATCTAAACACTGAATATATAAAACAACAATAATACCATAAAATGGAGTTTAAAGGGGAAAGAAAAACTTAAAAAAAAAAATCAAAATACTTAACAGCAAATAAATTGGGAGAGGGCACAGTGAGGAATGGAACTAAAAGCCCTTACAGTGTTTGGAAGGAGGAGAACAATATTAACTTTAGTCACTAATAAGTTATGCATGCATTCTGTCATTTCTAAAGAATTACCAAAGAATAGAAAGAGTATAATCTCCAAAAAAAAAAAAA